CTTCAATAACGAAAGTCAAGGCTTGAATTTTTTCTTCAGTTCCGTCAGCTTGAGAAATGCTGAGCGTGTTCTTCCCTTTTGGTTTTCTAACTCCAGATCTTTGCACATTTCGTTGTAATATTTGACTTTGTCTTCTCAAGCTGACCTTTGAAATATTCTGTTCATCTATTGTACCTCCTTATTTCTTCCATTTGCTTTAGAATCTTTATGCTGGGAAGCAAGTTTCAGAGTCTCTTCTGACATCCAGTTTGATCTTTTCCTTCTTTCTTGTCTTCTTAATGACTGTTTGCTTTCTTCCTGTATGATGTTCTTGATGTTATCCCACAAGTTAAAAAAATTTAAAATAAAAAATATATATACATATATAGGCAAATGGATTTAATCATCTTTCTGACTGTTTACTCCCTTCTGTGTACCATATTGTCATTTTTATTATATATTGTGTAAGCTTGTAAAGTTTCATAATAATTCTACTTCTCTAAATAGGAGGAGGATACCCTTTTTCTTTTTTTTTTTAAGGTTTTTATTGTGGATTGAGTGAAAGTTTACAGGGCATATCATCAGTTTTACATTCAACAAGTCATATACCTTGTTTCCTTATATTGATTATAATCCCCTCCATGTACCATCAGTTAACAGTATTTTTCTCTATCCACTTTAGCTTTTTAAAAAACATACAAACAAAAAATCCTGAGTCCCATCTACAACCTTATGAGATGAGACATTCCCACTAGAAATGATAAGCAGACTGGAACAGCTACAGTGACAGATGATGTATCTTCATGATGAACCTGACCTATACTCAGAGCGGTAGTTACTCTAAATACCAACAGAGAGGGAAAGAGTCTTCAAGTCAAGTTTCAATGCTATCCACTCTATACACAGGGTAGATAGGAACGGGCAACTTAGACATTGGCTATCTAAAATGAGGGGGCAATAAAGGCACGAAGTGACTGGCTTACAAGGTTTCAAGAGGGAATTTAGCTTCAGAGTATGGGGAGAAAGAAAGAGTCCCCACTGAATAGCTGTCATCTTGTCTAGATGGGTCTGGTGAAAAGAGATGGGGATAAGATTTGTAAGGAGGATACCTTATATCCTCATCTTAATAAAAATATTAGAACTCTTGCTATGTCTAAAAGAAAATGATGTTTTGAGACACTTGTCACTCTTTGTAGGTCTGTGTTGGCTGTTCCAGGGAATCCTTGGTAGCATAATGGATTATGAGTTGGGCTGCTAATCGCAAAGTCAGTAGTTCGAATCTACCAGTCACTCTGTGGGAAAAAGATGAGGCTTTCTGCTTTAATAAGATTTACAGCCTTGGAAACCCTATATAGGGCCTCTATATGTTGGAAACAACTCTATGGCACTTAACAACTTCAATCACCAAGTAAATAGTTGAAGTGTTGTGCCCAGAGAAGACAAAAAAATTGATTTTCCAATTGATTTTGTTTAACAGAGGTCTCTTTCCTTTCCATATAAAGTTAGTGATTAGTTTTTCCACTAATCAGGAATCTGGATTGGGAAAGCATTATATCTATAGTTTGCTTTGGGTATTGTTGACATTTTCACAATGTTTAGTCTTCCTATCCATGAGCACAGTATATTCCTCCATTTCTGCAGGTCTTTTTTGGTTTCTTGTAGT